ACTTAACGCAGTCTAAATTTTCTATGTTCAGTGATGAAGTAAACAGAAATAAATATTTTAAGGTTTTTAAAATTTCGTTGTAATATACTAAATAACATCTTAATTAGTAATAATATTTAGTTAAAAATGGGACGAAGATCAATAAACACCACCAAAAGTGGTAAATATATGAATCCCACAGACCAAGCAAGTAAGTTTTAGGATGTTTGTATATAGGTTAACTTTTTAAATAAAATTATTTTCATCAGGAAAAGAGGCTCGAAAGCAAGAGTTAAAGAAGAATAAAAAACAGCGGCAGATGGTAAGAGCTGCCGTTTTGAAGGGAAAGGATCCACAACAAATTTTAGAAGAAATGGAAAAAATTGACCAAATGGGTTCGTAATTTTTCTTTGATGTCTATTTTGTTTTGCTCCAAGCTAACTATATTTTACAGAATATAATGTAAATCAGCCATCACCGTTAAATGAAAAAGTTTTAAAAGATAAGAGAAAGAAATTACGGGATACTTTAGAAAGGGTGCTAATTATGTATGTAAGTATATAAAAAGAATTCTAATACTAGTTTCAGCATATCTTATTTGTTTATTGTTTTATTATTAGTATAAGGATGATCCTGAAAAGTGGTCCGACTTGAAACGAAAACAAAACGATTACGAACAGAAGAGAAATCAGTTAGTTGCATTTTATGAATCAGTAAAAAGTGCTCAACAAGTTACAGTAGATGAAATTCCACTCCCTCAGTTACCACAACAAGCAGCACCTGCTAATACAGCTGCACAAATTCCTTTGCCTACAAGTGAAAGAAGACAAGAACACACTATATATTCAATAGCGACAGCTTTAAAGTTTCAGGCACTGGTTAGTAGATGTAAGATGTTAATCACAAAACATTGATATTTAACGTCTTGTTTTTTATAGGGACAGCCAGTTAGAGAGCCTCCTGGATGTCCACCGGGTCCTCCTCCGGACATAAATGATGATGGAGAGGTAGAGGAATTCACCACAAAAGTGACAGAGGAGGAGAAAGAGGTGGAAGATGAAATTATAAACGATCCAGAGGTGGCGACTGTGAAACCTACCTCATTGCAACAGAAAATGGTAGCTCTTTCGGGGCAGAACGTAGACGAGTTTATGAAAGAAATGGAAACGGTTCAGAAAAAATTAGAATCAAGTAGGGAAGAAGAAAATAGGGCCAAACTCACAGCACATATCGAACCTTTGGTACCTCCGGGTACATCGGATACTCTACCTACCCTTCCTACTGCAAACCCACCTATGCCACCTCCTCACATGTTCCCGAGCGCAGGTATCAGACTACCACCAGGTCCGCCTCCTGGCAGGCCTTTAATGCCACCCGGACCGCCTCCTGGCTTGCCACCAAGGCTGCCGATTAGAATGCCACAAGTAACTCCCAGGATGATTCGCCTTCCCGGCCCTCCTTCAGGTATAGGCGGGCAAGGAGTTCAGCTTCTTCAGCCGAACGTCTTATCGGCTGCACCTCAGCTTATCAACCGCTCGGAATCCACCAAACAGGGTGCCACCATTTCCGCTAAGCCGCAAATTAGAAATTTAAGTGCCGATATCACACGTTTCGTTCCGTCTGCACTTAGGGTCAAAAGAGAAGACAAGAAACCTAAACAGAACCAGAGTGCCCTAGTTCGTGAATTAAAACAAAAGGAACTTACTATGCACCAGAATGCACTTGCCGGGCAACACACCAAAGACGACGCTTATAAACAGTTCATGCAAGAAATGGAACAGCTTTTGTAAAAAAAATTCAGAAGGGTACAACCTGCAGGATAATTCCAGTAATTTTACTCGTCTGATAACAAATTTATTTTTTGAATATGACTTCGACTTGAATTGCTTTGTAATTGGAAAGTTTTAATGTTAAACTGTACTGCATATTGTTTGATAGAGAAAAAAATATGGAGGTATCTTCTGCCACGAAAGAAAATTATTTATCTAAGGCTGTCTCCTTCCGAGTTAATATACAGGGTGTTTGGTAAGTCGATGCATTCCTTGCAGGAGGTTATAGTGCAAGTGATTTGTGATATATTTCCTTAATATACCATATTCCGAAAACGCTTAGTTTCTGATCTACAGGGTGATAAAGATTTAATAAAAAAATGCAAATTTATAAATATTGCGGAAACCGCTCAGAATATTTTAATTAAATTTTACAAGCTTTGACAATTAACAGCAATACGTGTTTTACGATAAAAATATTGTTTTTAGTTTTACCATCGATTCAGTTCCGGTTTCAATAATTTGAAAAATAGCAGAAATTATGCACTCAGCTTTTTTTTGTACCAATTTTATTACAAAAAGTTATTATTCTTCACAGTTAACATCAGTTTAAACAAACATTATCAGTTTTTAGATTCACTATTCACTATCTAAACGGAAATTAGCAAGTTGGCTGTGCACTCGTTTTTGTTATTGTTTGACAAAATTAATAATAGTTGTCACTTTGAGTGTTTGAATGTGAAGCAGTTAAGTGCATAATTTCTGCTATTTTTCAAATTATTGAAACCGAATTACGCCATGCAATAAATCGATTTTATTTATTATACTTGAAAACGTTGCGTCATAAGAAAAACAGTCGAGATACCTTTTCTCTTCCAAATTGAACAAGGAATTCAAAAATTTTTATTTCAAGAAAAATCAGTGGTATAATTTTTTTCTTTAACGATATTTAGTGACGTGCCTGTGCACACGCCTCTGGTGAAACTGAAAACAATATTTTTATAGTAAAACATGTATTGTTGTTAACTGTCAAAGCTTGTAAAATTTCATTGAAATATTTTGAGCGGTTTCCGCAATATTTATAAATCTGTATTTTTTTAATTAAAACTTTAACACCCTATATATCGGAAACTAAGCATTTTCGAAATATAGTAAATTAAGGAAATATATCACAAATCACTGCTTGTACTATAGCCTTCTGCAAGGAATGCATCGACTTACCAAACACCCTGTATAGCTGAGTGGGATTTATTTTTCAAAAACTGGTTTGAAATATGACTATAGGGATTATGCACTACCTGCTAGTCTATCATATCTTTTAGATGGATGAAAACCGTTTTGTTAGCAATGCAATACGAAGTAAACAAAATGAGCATTAATTAGATTTTATACATAGGACTACTTTGGTGGAAATTAATGTGGGTTACATTATGTTGGCTCCGTAGAAGTCGCAGAGAACTATATATTTTATAAATTTTAACACCTTTGTTCCATTAAAATTATGTATATAATGATGGTTGTTTTAATGAATTTAACCGTTCTAGAACAGATTGTGTATGTGTACATTTGTTTCAAATTATTCTAAGAATCTGTTGGAATTTTTTGCATAAATCCGTAAAAGTATTTACCTACGACCACTAGTGTAAATACTTAAAAATACACCGTCTGCGATCAATGTAAGATTCCTATTACGTACGGTAAAAAAATCGCACAGTTTTCCTAGCAACCGCCTAGCAACGGCCAATACAATACTGTTTGTATTGATCGTGTAGACAAGATGTTTCAAGTAAAACTTCCCACCGAACACGACCGAACTCACTTTTGAGGAGCTACGTCGGCGAATTGTTGAAGAATGTCGTCAGATAACGTCCGAAATGCTTCAAAATGTTCGTTCGGAAGTGGATGGAAGCAGAGGGAAATCAACTTTAAAATGAGGTGTTACTCAACATAGGGTGCCATTTAAAATTTAGTATTTTATGTCCCTGCCTAATAGACGAACGGTCCACCCTTAAAAATATGCTTAGAAAATCAAGGTCACCGACCACGAGGAGAGGCCAGGATGAAACCTTTTGTAATCGATGCATTGAGTTATTGCGAACAAAAAACCTAAGTAACATCTTTGTGTCCGAGTGGCAGGTAATTTGTTATTAACAAAAAAGTTGCAAAATAAAAATATTGCAAAAAAACGCTCTGCAAACAATTTTCTAAGGTAAATTGGCCAAAAATAAACATTTTTTGTCTCTTGACATTTTCTCGTAGAATGCTTCCTTTTCGAGCTAGGGGCGATTTAAGGTCGAAAAATGGCTAAAAGTTGCCAACTTTAAAAATTCATATCTCAGCTCCTACCAAAGCTTTCGGAACGTTCAAAAGCGCAAAATGATCCTCGAGACTTATACTTTAATGTAGTATTTTTTTTAAACCCGCCCCTTTTTTTTAACCCGTTAAATTTGCAGTTGAATTTCGGCCGCTAGTGCCCACGCGCCACCCCTACGTATCGCTATATATAGATATAGCGCTGTCGTGCATATAATCGAATAAACGCTATTCATTCATTACTTGTTACAATTTTTACTATTTAGTATTTCTAACACTCATACATATTTTCAAATTCATCAAATATTGTATATCATATAATTATTTATAAGATTAATAATATGAATATCATATTTAAATGGAAAATAATATGTATTACGTTACAAATATATTGATTTATATTTATAACTGTATCTTCATTAATGTAGCTTCAATAATAATAACTATATATAACTATATTTATATCAAAAAATTATTTAGAACTAGAATATAAAATGTTATAAAAGGATACGCATAGATAGTCAACCAAAATATTAACTAACCGAGTTTTCGCGAACGTGCGCTTATGCGAATTACTTGTTATAACTTGTTTAAACAAGCGCAATGGATTAGACTGCAGCGATCGGGTGTCGCATGGATCATTAGTTTATTGTCTGGCATCAGGCAATAACAGTGAACATTTGACAAATAATGTATAAAAAATAAATAATACATTTTCTACAATATTCATTTGTGCTGTCATAGTGCAACAATCCTTTATTAGTCTGTAAACAATCATGCAACGTATGTGAATATTCAATGTTGTATAAAACTGCAGGTAAGTTTTCGAAAAATATTCTTGTGCTATTCGTTATTTAATACAATATTTATTATTCCCAATAGCTAGTATGTACATGATAGTATAGTAAATATCGAATCATCATGATACCAATACCATCATCAATACCTCCGGCAGAGCCTGTATTGTTACAACATGTTATGCGTGTTAAATGGCAAATCAATGAATGGTCTCAAGCAAGATCTGCAAGCATAACATCCTTCGACCCAACACAATATGGCTGGATATTAAAAAATAATGTATTGTGCTACAATTATTTTGAAGGAGATACGGCCATGGAAATGTTACAAAAATTCATATGTTCCTGCAGTGGAAAGTTACCCTGCAGCGATGAAGACATTTGTTCTTGCTTATCACAAGGCTTCAAATGTTGCGATCTTTGCAATTGCTCTATAAAATGTCAAAATGCAGAAATACAAACTGATGATACTGATTCGGAGACTGAAAATTGATTTTTTATTAAATAGTTAAGTTTATATTTAAATGTAAATATATTTTTTTGTATTAATAAATACCTTTGATATATGCATTTTTTGTAATGTTTAATTAATTTATTTTTCATTTAAATATCATATTCATATTATTAAATCTTATAAATAATTATATGATATACAATATTTGATGAATTTGAAAATATGTATGAGTGTTAGAAATACTAAATAGTAAAAATTGTAACAAGTAATGAATGAATAGCGTTTATTCGATTATATGCATGACAGCACTGTTACAAAAGGTTTCATCCTGGCCTCTCTTCGTAGTCGGTGACCTTGATTTTCTAAGCATCTTTTTAGGGATGGACCATTTGTCTATAAAGGGTAATTTCCATGACACCAAAACTTACGCCATCACGTGTCCCCCCCTTGAAAAGAAAATTGACCTCTCAGGTTTTTTTGTTTGTTTTAATTGATGTTTTCCAGGTGGAGTTTTAATTGGAATACCTTGTACCCCTAATTTAACAAAAGCATTCTTGAGGCACTGTTTAAACTAAGTTTGTCAACTGTCTCAATTTTTGGTCATTATTTTTTCAACTCGCGCCAATGGGTTAACACCACTGAAAAATGCCAACAAAGCATTTTTGTCACATTTTTTCTTTTAATGGAAGGAAAAGTAAGAGGATAATAATATTCAAGAATGTTATTATTAACCATGTCTCTAACACATTTTTAGTTTTGATTGTAATGTGATCTGGGATCAAGCTGATTCATTGGTTAAATTCGGACGATACAATCGACCCTAAGTGTTAAAAAAATTTATTTTTTCATAAATAGTACAAAATGGAGCCATTCTTGCGAGGCATGTTGAACTTGAAGCACTCTGCGTCACACAGTGTAACTGACGCAAAGGGTCTAAGCAGAATAAAATAAGGTCAGCGGCCCCAGAAAGGTATTTTGAAAATGGCTTGTGTGGTAACATTGGCAAGATATAAATCTACCATTGACACAAATTCAGCCTCGCATCTCGCTGCGTTCTGGTGATAATTGATCAAATAGGCGCTAGAGCGGGTATTTTTCAAAATTGTTTTTTCCGAAAACTATTGCAGCTGCTCTACTGAAATAAAAACTGTTCGTTAGACAAAACATTAGTCTACATTATATATTTTTTATAGAATTTTTCTGTTTATTTACCATTAAAAAAAAAATAAATATATTTTTTTCAAGATTTTATTCGTAGTTCACGCAGAGGTACAATCACAGAAAAAATATATACTATGTCTAGTATTATTACCAAAAAGTGCATAAATATAAAATGGGTGCAACACTATCAAAAAAAATTAAAACTTCTTAGGACCATCTTAGGTACTAATGACTTCCCATTTGTGACACCATTATTATCTGTTTGTTACTTAAAAATATATTAAGTAGTTAAAAATGTAAGGAAGATTTTGATTTTGACAAACAGATGAAAATTGTTTGTGGAACTACGTTTTTAGAGAACAAGACTAAACCTGTCGCTTTCCAGCTAGTCGCGTATGTGCATTGTGTTTTGTTTACCTATCATTTTTATGCCCTCACCACTATAATAGCCCGACTTCAATTATCGTATGCGGATTGTTTCGGATTATTAAAATTTTTTTATATAATTAAACTG